TATATATATATAATATTATATATATATATATTTTGTATACATATATATGTATATATATATATATATATATATATATATGTTTATAAATGTATAAATATATATACATATATACCTTTTTTTTCACGGCTTATTTGGTAGGTAGATAGCCATGACAAGTACTTAATGAATCTCTGATGGTACATAGGTGTACTGAAGTAAATAAAGGATTTTAAGAGTCCCTTGAACATAATTTATACTTGTTTTTACTTAACATATATACACAGTCAATTCAGTACTATTTTTCATACAATATCCATTGGTATGTCATCTAATATTACCAGCGACGCTCTAAACAATTGTTAGTTGCCTGTTCACTCGGTCTTATCTCCTACGTCCGTCTCCTCAGCGGTAGGCAGCCACGGCAGTAACATGTTGACTCTTTTCTGGTACTCCTTGTAGATGGCGTATTTCTCCAAAGTGATGTATTCGGTGAACCGGGTGGATCCCTGTGCAGATAGAGACGACGAATTTACTATACCACGGTAGTATGGCCACGTGTGATACACACGAATACATTGGCATGAATACACACGTGTGACACACACGCGCGTATTGTACAATACGTATACATGAGTTAAACGCACACAATAACATGCAGACACACGTACAATACACACCACACACAATTATAAACATGTACGAGTTACCTACACACACCTGGAATAGCATGGACAACAATACCGGCCCTACAATCGTCCAGTGCACTTCTCCGGTGGCTGCGACTGCAAACAGGTAGTAGCTCCACCACACCAACTGCTCAAAGAAGAAGTTGGGGTGTCGCGAGAAGGCAAACATCCCGTGGGTCAGAAAGCCCCGTTTGTAGTCACGCACAATGCTTTCGTCTGTGGACGGTTCCGGAACAGCCCCTTTTTGGCTGGGTTGGGGTGGGATGCGACGTTTGTTTTAGGACTGGTATGGGTCACCCTTGGGTACGGTGTAGGTGATGCAGATGAATGGTATATAGAACCTGAGGGTGCGATGTATTTGTGATACAGAGGAATAGTATGGGTAACCCTATACTTAATACAAAAGCAGTGCAGGTGTGTTTAAACCCGCGACAGTGCTTCATATGCACATTCGATGTAAAAAGATGTCTATATAAAATACAATAGTACTGCAGGTGTGTTTAGACCCGCGACAGTGCTTCATATGCACATTCGATGTGAAGAGATGCCTATACATAACACAATAGTACTGCAGGTGTGTTTAAACTCGCGACAGTGCTTCGTATGCATATTGCTACGAGACGCCTATACGGAGTGGTGCGTTACATGTGCACAGATAGGATTCCCCGTGCAACAGCTGCATTCAACGCATATAAACCCGAGGGGTGTTAGAGTACATGGACTACTAACCAGACACTGACCAGACACAGTACCTCAGCAGCCGATGCTTCTCGTTCTGGAACACCCACTGTTCTTGATCGGCCAGAGTCTCAAACAATACAGACCCCACCAGGAGAAACAAAGCCCCCAGATCAACCAGGTTCAGAGGCATCTCTCTGTGGTAAGGATTCAGACCCGAGATACGGATGAGCGGATATGAGTCTCCCGAGAATGTTCCATCCCAGTCCCAAGTTCAATGGTCATTCTTGTTTTAGTGTTAGGACAAACTTGAATGGTCCTGGTTGATTAATTATCAGGTTAACAATGTCTAGTAGACACCTGTGTGGGGATTGGTGTGCCGTGCGCAAGTGATGATAGTGTTCGTCCCAATAGCCCTGGGCAGAGGGGTCTATTGGAGATGATTCTGAGGGATGGGGGAGTTTGATATCAGTGGTCTCAAACCAGTGACAAACAGTCGTGCTAACTTCTAAGATGCCTGCAAGAATATCTGTATGTGGATACCCATATGCATGTACATGTATATGTGTATACGTATACGTATTCGTAAGGATGCTCGTGTATAATATCCACTCGTCGCACTGAGACACAGCTATCACTACATGGTGTAGTTCTCTATCACTACACGGTGTAGTTCTCATTGTAGCTTCAGTATGATAACGGCACACACTCCTCAGACAATAGGACAGCGAACAGAAACAACTCCTTCCAACGGCCATCACCTGCTACACCACGGCACATGGTAGTAATACATCAGTAACAGGCAGCAGAAAAGCACAAATACGTATAGCACATATACGTAAAGCACATAGACGTGAAGCACATAAACGTAAAGCACATAAACGTAAAGTACAAACTCCCAACACCACAAACGTTCGCAGTGGACTTACTGATTGAGGTACGCCGCCCACGACGGCAATGCAATGAGCAACAGCAGGATGTTCTGGAAGAGGCTGATGAAGATCAGGTTGAAGATCTCAAAGAACACTGTGAGCGGTGGTGGGGTTGGGTGTGAGTGTGGGTGTGGGTGTGGGTGTGGGTGAGCGTTGCGTGAGTATCCTTTGTGTGTGTGTAAGTGAATGGCCCGCAGGTGTGGTCTTGCATACAATGTCTTCCAATGAATGGGATCAGGCCAATGGGTACTGAGGGGTTGGTACTGAGATATTCAGACCTCTGGTCGGGTGGTGGACTCTGGCCTCGACTACATCAGTACAATAATGCCTGCGAGATGCGTCTGTGCACTTGTTGGTGGTTAACTGGCAGTGAGAAAGTTTCTGGGTAACTGTTTGCGATGAGGTGGGGGACCACTGCATATCGACTGCCGAAGGACCACGCACAATAGACATACAAATAGACACACACAACACGCCCAGTGGACATACAAATAGACACCCACAACACGCCCAGTAGACATACAAATAGACACCCACAACACGTCCAGTAGACA